ACCGGATCTCAGCCCCATGAATTCACCCCAAAGTATCCCTCTAGGTGTCCCTGCCTCAGTGCCTGGGACGCCATCCATCCAGGTTCACATGGGAACCCTGGTGGCACTTCCTGCCCCATCTTCCCCCTCATGGCTCTCACTCACTCCCATCGAGGCGGCCTCTGAACCCCTCTGGATGCTGGTTCACATCTTCCTCCTCTGTAGTTCAGAGGCCCACCTTGAGCTCACCCACATGATGCCTCCTCCACCTCCCAAGTCACCTGACCCTGGTCATCCCAGCCTGTGAACAGAGTGATCTTCCCCAAAGCAACATCGCGTCACATTCCTACTTAAGCCTCCTGGAGGCTTCTGAGGACACTCCTGGGTCCCTAACCTGCTGGTAACACCCTGGGACACATGTGGCAGCTGCAAGCAAGATTCCACAAAGTGGAGGCGCTCTAAAATCCAAAGGAGGAGCAGCAGCGAACCCACCATCCAGGCTGGGCTCTTGGCCCCTGTGGTTGCCATGGTGACGACCAACATGATGCAGGCAACAGGGCCTCGCTGTGGTCCTGGGGATGTGATGACAGTAATAAACTGAACACTGCGCCTTAATGGTCAAGGCTAATGGAGATGCTAAAGAACATGCTCTAATTCCTCTGTCCCTTGGTCAGCTGTTTCTCTGGCCAGCAGGTAGCCAGGCGCCTCCTCGTAGACCACTGGAACCCACCTTGCAGCAAGAAGCAAGCATCTCCCCTAGAAATCCGTGCACCCTGGAGCACCTTTGGCTCACACAGTCCTGTGCTGCTCTTGTCACCAACGTGGCAGGTGTTTGAAACCCAACACTGACATTCCTCCTATTTCTTGAAGGGAATCTCCTCCATATTTCCCCACATGTAATATTCCTGTTAAATATGCGGGTATATATGGTGACAGTGACTTTTCTGTGAGTACCAAAAGGGCTGGGTTGTGTAGGAAACGTACACAGACATCCTGATGTAGGCCACCCACACGCTGCAGAGCCCAAGTGACTGTCACATCACTGAGTTGGAGGAGCTCTTACCGAGCTGGTAGCTGGTCTTCTACCCATGGTGGGCATCACTTTGCAGCATCTCAGGCACCTGCTCAGGTTCCCTGTCCTGGAACACTTCAGGGGGAAGACTGCATAACTTAGCATGCTTCAGGTTGCAAATAGCAACACGAAATTCAAAATGGATTAAACATTGGAGCTATATATTGGCTTCTGCACTGGGAAATTATGGGTACTTAGACAAGTTCTGCCAGCTTTGGATGGTGGCCCAGGAAAATAAGTCCGTTGGCTTTCACCTGATCGTCCTCAATCAGTCACAGTGGAGATAAATATGACCCTGCCGTGGATCCATCTCTAGATGACTAAATTCTTTCAAGATAGAATACTTCTTCTGTATCAGTCAGTTTGGAAGCTTCAGAAAGCACCAATTCCTCAAGGTGGTGAACAGGACTTATGGGGATCCACATGCAGAGGCTTGGGTTCCAGGGCCTTCATGGTGAACAGGGAAACAAAATGCACACGCACAAACAGACGTACATATTCACATAGGCATGCACACACGGCATCAGCACATGTACAAGGATACCCAGGCCAGCATGACACACACGTCCCCACATACCAGCACACATTACACTCACGTAATACACATGCACTGGTGTGCACACGCATGTGCACACACAGAGTTAACACATGACTGTGTGCACACATTCCCCAGCTCACATGCAAAGTGTGTTGCAGATCCTTTCTGGAGCAAGAGCTCAGGTAAAATCCTTTCCCCGACCCTCAGCGCTGTTTCCCCACGCTGGGGTCGCAGCTCTAAAAGTCACACAACTAAACAGCTCAGGACCCCGTCTCGGATGCTCCTGAGGGGCTTCCTAGAGGCAGGGCAGAGCGAGAGCCAAGAGAACCACTGCGCTGTCCTCCAGGGGCTGCGGGCCACCTTCCTCCTGTCCCCAGCAACAGATAGAGTTGCCAATTATCAGAAAATAGGCGGCCCCTCTGGGACGGGCACGAAGCACTTTCCTGAGCGCGGCTCCATTCACCAAGCCCGGGGCTGTCCCAGGGGTGTCACTCCAAACTGGCTCTTGGCTTGCAGCCTCTTCATCATCTCCCTGAAATGAATTCCCTGAAACAGAGTTCTGGGTCCCTGTCCAGAACTTTCCTTTGCTTCTAATGGATATAAATTTCCCTAGAAGGATTCTAAGTCGCCCGCCGGCATTTTGGCTTCACAGCATCTGCATTACACATTTCAGAGCTCCCAACCTGTGTGTGTCAGGACTGAGAAGACTGGAGCTTCAGATCAGAAGAACTGGATCACCGCGCTCTGTGAAGCTTAAAGACGCATTTAATTGGGGCAATCCACATTCACTTGTAAGGACAATGAAACTGCTCAGCTGAAAAGTGATTCACTGGTCGGTCACAGAGTCATTCAGCAAGTATTTTCTGAGCTTCTACTCTGGGCAGCACACTGTTGGGTGTGACGGGCTGTACTAAGAAAAGTACCACAATTCAATTAAATGGAGCAAATAATGAGGAGTCCCTGCCATGCGCCAAGGACTCTGCCAGGCTCTGAGGGAAGGAGCCAGCCAGCTGCAGGTCTGAGCACTAAATTCAAACTCTGATGGCTAAGGGGGAGACCAGTCAGCACCGGGTGCTGTAGGGGCAGGTGATGCCTACGGGCCTGCAGGGCTCACCCTGCCTGGAGCCCACAGCTGGGAAGCGGGGGTGGCCTGGGAGGCTTGCACACCGACCCAGGCCAGGGCCCTCAGAACACAGCCAGCCCCGCCCCACTCAGGACCCCGGAAGTGAGGGGGAGGTGGCTGTCACTGCTGGGGGAGGGGCACAGGACGCTTCAGTCCCTCAGGATGCACTGAGGACTGTGGCCCTCATGGCATCCAGGGGGAGCACCTGGAGTTCACCAGGACATGAGGACTGCCCTGCCCCAGGAACATGACTGGACCAAGCTGTGAGCCACCTGAGCCAGCAGAGACCAGAAGGTGTGATGCGCGGCTGCCCCTCTGTGCCCAGCTGTCCCCATGCAGTGAGAGAGGACTCTGCGTGGCTACTCTCCTAGCTGCACCCTGTCATCTGTGAGGTCAATAAGTGGTCATGAAAAGTTAAATATCACAATGGAACTAATTTGCTATAATAAATATTAGCGATCCAGGTTTAGAAGAGGAGTGGCCCTCCACTAAGGGCCACCGATCTCCGTCTAGAGCCAGTGTGGGCTGGGCTGACCGGGTGACAGTGTCACTGGGGTCCTCTAGGAAGAGAACAGGGATGGTGCAAAGACCCTGAAGAGCCCAGAGGACCCCAAGTGTAACCAAGCAGCTCCAGCATCGTGGTGCAGTGGCAGAGAAACCTGGGGACAGTGAGGTGACCAGGGCTGATGCTGGGAGGGCAGGGCTGGTCCTGAAGGACAGGAAAGTAGGAGAGGAGAGGAGAGGAGAGGAGAGGAGAGGAGAGGAGAGGAGAGGAGAGGAGAGGAGAACAGAGGAGAGGAGAGGAAAGGAGAGGAGAGGAGAAGAGAACAGAACAGAACAGAGGAGAGGAGAGGAGAGGAGAGGAGAGGAGAGGAGAGGAGAGGAGAGGAGAGGCCCCAGGAGGCACAGCAGCATGAGGAGAGGCTGTGAACTCTGCTGGGTCCTCCTGTCCTGAGGCCAAGACTTAAGCTTCCATGAGGTCCCCACCTCCCTGTCCACATGGACCCCAGCTCCCCCCAGTCTAGGTCAACAAGCAGCTCCAACCACCAATCTTGTTCTCCTAAAACCTGAATCACAGAATGACACAGGCAGCCCAAAGCTGGCGTGGACTCACTTTGATGGTGACCCAGGGACCCTAGGAGCTGCCCAGCTCTTCCCCTCCAATCCCCCAAGTCCTGGGCTCACTGGTGTCCTTCTAGTGACTGTCCCCAAAACCTCAGTCTTGAGGCTGGGGCCAGCTCAGATGTAGAGTGCTGCCTGGACTCACAAAGCCCTGGGCTTGGGGCCAGCACAGCACAGGCCGAAGCTCCCGAGGAGCCCAGGCTTTCCTGCCGGTGCCCTCCACCCTGCCACGCTAGGCACAGGCTGGGGCCTCCCCTCCCTCCCTTGTCGTCCAGCGCTCGGGGTCTCACTGCGGGTAGGGCCGGGTCCCCCAGAGGATAGACAGCCACTGCCCAGGGATGCATCGAGCTTCCCCTGATGGCAGTGAGACAGACAGCAGGAACAGGACACAGCACAGCCAGGTCAAGGGACACACGGCAGCTGTCCTTTATCCTTGGAGTAGAAGTCTGCTTTTGTTCTCTCTTATAGAAAAGAGGAGCTGAGCAAAGGGGACCCTGTCCCTGCCTTGGGGGACACAGAGGACTGGTCAGGGGCTCGAGGAACAACCACAGTAATCCTGTCACCCTTTGCTTATGACTGTTCGAGAGTGGACATCATCCAGGTCCAGCCAGGGGAACCCAAGGGGGAGCTGCCAGGCCTCTGGGAAAGACTGGAGAGTCTCAGGGACGCAGGGATAGAGGCCTGGTGTCCTGGAGCCACTGAGTGCGTCAGAATGGAACGGCCTTTTCCGGCCTCCTTGCGAGGTGTGCAAATCAAGGCCTCCACACCCAGCACCTGTGCTCCTGAGTCTATGGTGGTGCGTGGGCCATCTGGGGTGTCATGACCGCTGAGAACTGAGGTGGACGTGAGCTTCCCATTTGTGATGGACTCTCCAAGCTGATGTCTCTGTGGGTGCAGGGGGACCGGCCACTCTCAGTGGATGTTCTCTTCCCTGCCTTCCCCAGCACCCCAGCTCTCATCACCATTAGCATATTGACCTGGCTGGGACATGCCCAGGGCTCTGCTTCCTGCCAATCAGATGCGCCTTCTGCACCTGTGGGAGGAGCCAGGGGAGGGGTGCTGTCCTCCTTCCACAGGGCAGGGAGGCTTCGGGGCCCTGAGCCTGGGTGAGAGTGGGTGAGGAGGCCGAGGCAGAGCTGAGGGCAGGGACAGAGGCTGAGCTGGGCTGGGGCTGCTCGGGTTTTCTGCAGCCTGTTTATCACACCATGGTCCTGAAATTCTCATGAGCAGGAATCAGTGCGCCCCATCCTGGGGGCACTTTGGGTCCCTGAGGTGCACTGAAGACACCGATGCCTGGGCGCTGCACCCCGGGCTCTGACTTGAGAGATCTGGGACCCAGCGTGGGCATCGGAACTTTAAACCTTGCTGGAGTCCCTGACAGGCGCCAGGCTGCCACTTAACAGGAGGAAAACCTGAGCAGGCACCCACGGTGTCCAGAGGGTTTCCCCGGGCAGCAGGCAAGGGGCCCTCACGGTCACCTCTGCAGTATGAACGGACCCTCCTCCCTGGTAAGTGTCCCCACCCTGAGGTCTCTGGGCTTCCCCGGCCTCACGCTCCACCCGGCCCTACGGCTGCCTTCCCGGGCAGTCATGCTTCCCGTCCTCCCTCTCCACCTCCTCCTGCCCTCCTTCCCTTTCACCAAAGGCAAACTCCAGCCCAGGACCCAGAGGTGCTGACCTCCCCTGGCCTCCTTTCTCACCTCCTCTCCTCTCCCTCCTCTGGCACCCATCCCAGTTCAGTCCCCGAGCGCCCAGGCCTGTGGAATGGGTACACAGCAGACAACTCCGAAGACTGGGGCCACTGGGGCTTATGCCTCTCTCTCCAGCTGAGGCTGCTCCTCTCCCCCAAGTCACCAGCATCTGCAGGTCACCCCACTCAGAAGCCACTTCTCCACGATGGAGCCTCCAGGAACACTTTGAGGAGATGCCAACGCCAGTCCCCACCATGGCCACCCACTCACATGGCTCCTGGGATGGTGACCCGGCCCCTCCTACATTTCTACCAGAGCTCCTCCAGCCTCCTCAGAGACCACAAGAGTGGTCAGCTCCGCTGTGTTTCTCACACCCTGGCATCAGGATCCCCTGGGGGCTTGGGAGAGCTCACAGCTGGGCCCCAGGGTACCGTCATCATCTGAAGCAGAATCAGAGCCAAGAATCAGCATTTTTAACCCGGCCGAGGCAGCGTTGCTGCTGCTGCTGGGCTGGTCCCATGAGGACCAGCTCTGCACCGCAGCCCGCCCTCCTGAGGACAGGACCCCAAGTCCTGTGTTTCCTCACTACCTCCCCCTGCTGGCTGAAGAGCCTTGCAGTGTCCGGGGGCCAGGAGGGCCACTGTTTTGTGGCCTCTCTTTTTACTTGCCCCTTGTTCACCATCTCCAGCCTCACTGAGGATCACCTAGATCTGCCCCCAGGGCCTTTGCATGGCTGTCCTTGACACACTCTTCCTCCGGGGTGGCCCTTCCTGAACCCCTGCCTGGCCTTGCCCTTCACCCTTATTGTCCTTTATAGTGACCATCACCGCCACGGCCTCCTGCAATCGCTGATCTGATGCCTACAGCTTGTCCTCCAGGGGAAAGTGAGAGCAGGGACATCAGTTCCCTCCTGTCCTGGCTCCCAGAGCCTGCTGTGGCCAGTCCTCAGAGAGCACCACCTTGGCCAGCGAAGGACACAGGGGCAGGGGCAGCTCCCTCTGACCAGGCCCAGGCTCCGGAGGTGCCTCATCCACTTGTTTTCTCTTCTCTGGCTCTCAGCAAGTGATAGCTCTCCCGTGGTTTGTTTGATTGTCAACATTTAAAAATGAGAAAACTTTAAAAAACCAATACAATGCATTAAGCAACTGCCCCAAAGCCTGAGGGGAACAGATGCCTTTGGGGGTCTTTGTTGTCATCAGTTATCGATTGAGCCCTGACTGTGTCCTGGCGCCACCAGGACGCAGGGTCCCTGCCCTGGGGGTGTCAGGAGGAAGAAGGCAGAGTCCAGGGGCTCAGAAGGCTGAGAAGACGGCCAGGCTTCCCACCTCAGACCTCGCTTCCTCTGTGATCTCTTTACTTCAATTTTGCTCACTTATTGTCTGAGTTTAAAAGGTCACAGGGAGTTTAGAAATATTCCTTACAAACAGAAAATAACCTGCGGCTCCAGGATTCTCTGCACACATACAAAGCCTCGGTGGTTTCTTACACAGGGTTCAGCCCAGCCGTGCTCTTCGGTTTCTCCTTGATGTCTGCTCCCGAGGACAGACACACTGCCTCCCGCCCCAGGCTGCTGACGCCAGTGTTCCTGGCTACAAAATATTCTACTCCCTCGATATACAACCATCGGCTTCAACCGTCCTCCACTGATGGACAAACACCCTGTCTTCTCTTTTTGCTATAATGCTAAGCAAGTCTGTTCTGGGGCAGGACTGTGAAGCTCTGGGCTTCCAAGAGGTCCAGTTCCACTGGTTCTCCAGCTCCACCAATTGGCCAGGGTGGTGATGGGGATCCCTGGTGGTTGTCGGTGGAGAGCAGACCTGCTGGCCATGTTTCTGTCTGCCATTTCTTTGTACCAGACAGACAGAAGATTGCTGGGTAATATTTTAGGACTAACATGTCACGCAGCTCCTTGGTTTAAGCACCCAGCTGGCATGGTCCTAAGCTCATTCTTACGTGATACTAAGGCTCCGTGTTTCTGCTAATGCTTCATCCTGAGCTGCCCCGTACAGCGTATCCCCAATGGATGACTTTTCTTTCACAAGCGCCTGTACTATTTGGAAGGAGCTGCTCTGCCCTGAATGGGCATTTAAGAGGCCAAGTACACTGTGGTCACCATAGTGTCTCCTTCTGGAAGGATGAGTCCACATAGCTTTAAAGCCTGTAGACACTCATCATGGGTTGATAAGACATTCCTACTGAACAGGACCCTGATTCACTGTTTTCACATATAATTGTGCTGATTTCTTGTGGGTTAGTTTGTTTCTAAGTTGGTCTTGGAGTCCCTCTCTGGATGGTGGCTGCAAATGCTATCCCTGCTCTGATGGACTCCGGAGTTGGGGCCACAGAGGGTCACAGTGTGCCTTTCGTGGACACACCTTGTGGCTTATCTGAGCAGACAATGCAAAGCCTGAGTGTCCAATCCTGACCCAGCATTCCTCTCACCTGAAGTTTGTTCACATTGCCAAGGTCCTCATGGCTCTTATCTGACCAAGGCAGCTCTCTGTATCCTTCCTCCATCCTGTAGTCAGCTTGTGCAGGCCCAGCCCCCACAGGCACCATGTTCAGCTCAGGATAGGGTGCACTTCTGCCTGGAAAGGCCTGAACCTCAGAGGTACTGAACCCGGGGTCTCCCATCCTCCCTAAGGGCTGACGCTCAGCCTGCATGTGCTGGGTATTTAAGGTGGCTCCGATCTAGGGGCTGTGGCCCCAGCTATGAGCAGCCTCTTCCTGTTCTTGTTCTGCCTCTGGGGCCAGACCACGGGCCTGCCCTGAATGACATCGTCCCGTAGACCCTCACCAGGAGCTGTGGCAGCCCCTTACAGGCTGTCCTGGAAGCCCCTCCTGCCTCTAGCTCAGCCTCACCCAAACATTGTTCACACGAAGCCCTTCAGATCCAGACCCCAGGATCCCACATGTGAAAAGAATCCACAGTTAATCAATGGATCATAAGCTGGTCATAAACATAACTCTCCAGCAGAAGACCTAGTGTGACCAGTTTAAACTGTCGGAGGTAGGTGAGGGGTTTCAGGGGATGATGATCCACAGGACTCTCCTAGTCCTGGGTCAGAACCCAGAAAGCAGATGAGACTCATGCTAGGACAAGAAGGTGCCCGCCACTGTGTTCCTTGTGGGCAGGTGGACAAAGCATGACCATGGCATGCACAGGCTCCTCCGATGTGACCTCCGTGACACAGTAGCGTTAACACTGATGATGACAACACAGATAATCCCTCGTTCTTTCTGGGTGCTGGGTTCACTTCTATGCATCCAGATGCAGGAAGAGTCAGGGAGAAGAGCTGGATCAACAGGCCCAGCGTGGATGCAGCCAGGCCAGTGGTCCTGGGGGCACTGGTTTCCAGAATGAACAGGAGATGCATGGGAGGCCTAGTGGAGGAGCTGACACACTGTTTTCGGGGGGCTAAACAGGCCAATTTGCTCTGGTCAGGCTGATGAGCTTGGAGGCCTTCCCAGGTCCTACTCACTGATTCCACTGGTCAGCCCTGCACTGGCTCTGTGATGTCCAAATCCTGTCACTACAGTGAGTACACTGACCTTCCTGGTCAGTGTTCCCCTAGGCAGAGTCTACAGCTCTTTGTGAAAGCAGGTGGATACATGGGGCTTGCTCTGTGACCCAAGCACATCACAGGCAAGGAGAGCCCTGTTCTAGACATGACAGGCAGGTGCCACCTGTGGGACACATTCCTAAGTGAATTTCAGGCTCTCACTATGACGTGGGTCTCAAGGCAGTAGCAAATATTGGCAATTAATTGTCCCAAGAGCATCTATGATTGTTGTTTTCAAAGCCAATGTCTCTGAGAAACACTAAAAGACAAACGCCAGCCTGGGCCCAACTGGCAGCAAATGGTCCAGTGAGTGACAACTTCACAGGCCCCAGAGTGTTCAGTCTAATGTTCTGGGAGCCTGTTCAGTGGCTGCAAACCAGCCCTGAGGCAGCAAGTCTTTAGTCACTCAGAGGAGGCAAAGATGGCCCTCAGCAGTGACACTGAGCATGCAGGGTTGACCTGGAGCAGCCCTGAGCCTGCTGCTGCGCCTGGTCCTGGTTTCTTAGCTCACGTAACCAGGCTGGGAAATCGCAGGTGTCAGATGGTTACAGTCCAGAGTGGCTGCTTGAGGATGCGGTTAGCCAGATAAAGCTCATCTGACGCCTGCTCAGTCAGCTGTGAGGCCCCCAGAACTGCAGGCACAGGCTGGGCCAACCCTTGAGAGCCCACGGGGGTTGCTCCCCAGGGCACACTTGGTAATGTCTGCAGACAGTTTTGGTCGTGGTAACGCTGGGGTGTGGGCCACTGGCATGGGGCCTGAGGTCAAGGATGCAGCTTAAACCTCCTACCACGCACAGGACAGTTCCCCAAACAGATTTATGGTGCCCAAACTGTCACCAGAGCTGAGGGAGAGAAGCTCTGCTCCGGAGCCACAGTGGCCATTCCGGTCCATTTTCTGGACAGAGCCCAGATGTGCACAGCTGGACGTCGCCCTCTCCATCTGGGTGTCCCTGGCTTCACGCAGAACCAGAGCCGTGCGTAGCCAGGGCTGCAGCTGCCCTCCTGCTCCCCGCTCCTGTCGTTTCTTCCCACCTTCCGATTTCTGTCACAGGAGAAACAACGGAAAAATAAAACACTGGAGAGTCACTGAAAATTTTGTTTTCCTCAATAAAAAAAGATGCAATTTGAAAGTGACTCATGTAAAGCAAAAATTAATGAAGACAGAAGACATGAGATCCATCAAGAAATCGATCAAGCAGACATTTTTGGCAGAGAGAAGCCTCCAGCTGAGAGCTGGTGGGTCACAGGCGGGCGCAGTGAGACGGACCAGGGCTGTGGGCAGAGGCTGCGGGGACCGCGGGGAGCCAGGGCCTTGCCGGACAAGCCCAGCTTCTCACACTAAACCACCTCAGCGCATGCAAGCAGTATCTTACAGCACTAAATGATAGCATTCAGCAGAAAACATCAGAAAGCGTCACTCATAGTGAAGAGGAATATTGTTTGTGAAATTGGAAATTAATATATATTTATTGTGGGTGTGTGTGCTTATGCTGGGCTCCAGTGTAAAATATATTTCTTACAGTTGAAGCTCCTTGAAAAGCATTCGAGTGGATTTAATGATGAAAGGTTTGGAAATAACTAAGTATCTGTCGGTAAATTTTGCCAATAAAAGGAACAAGGAAATTACTCACTCTAGGAGAATGCAAAGATGTAAAGGAAAGAAAATGCAACCATATCACAATACTTGGCTCTGGGGAGAGCAGTGTCTCCCTGGCTACATGACATAAACACTGCTAATGATGCAATTAAAAACAGTGGTGTCCTCTTGCAAGTGATGGGAGGCGGAGGAGCATGGGAGATAACCTGTCTTAGTTACTTTTCTTGCTGCTGAGACAAAATACCCAACACAAGGTTAAAGGCGGAAAGGTTTATTTAGTTCACAGTTTGTAGAGGTTTCAGTCCATAATTGGCTGGCTCTCAGGCAGGGTGACATGGCAGAGGGGCAACAGTTCCTGGCAGTGGAAGATACCAAGAGCAATGAGAGGAGAGGAGGGCAACCCTCTTTCCTTCCCTTACACTGTATGCAGGACAGCCACCCAGGGCACATGTGGCACTCATGCCCATAATCCCAGCATGGGACCGTGAATCAATCACAAACTCTAGACTCAGGCACCTCTAAAAAGCCCACCCCCCATAACCACGTAGGCTTTGGGGGACATCCAGACACAAACCATAATATAACCCTCACCCAGCTTGGTGAACATTAGATAAGAACCTACGGTAAAAACTCTGACTTGTTTCTTCTAAGATTTCAAAGAAATTTGCAAAAACAACTAAAGGATGAACTGTGGCTATCTCTAGGAAGAGGTGGCCCGAAACAGATTCTGTGGCACTTGATTTGGTGGCTGATATATTGCCTTAACTTAGAAAGAGAAATCAAGTCCAAAAACCTCTGGCTAGTGAGGGCCCAGTAGAGTTTGCAAGAAAGAGCCTTGGGGCAAGGTGGTCTTGGCTCACTTACAACTGTGTATCTTGAGCCTCCCCAGCTTTTGCAACCAGTTTATACATCTCAGAAACAGGGTGGGCCACATTATTTTTACCTGTCCTACTGTGCATGAGTCTCACAGTGCAATAAATTGGGGTTCTAGGCCACAGCCACCTCATCTCAACGTCAAATATTATCCCCAAATTAGTATAAGAAAGAAAATACAATATATTATACTTTAATATGTGTACAACCATGTACACATATAACTACGCACAGAGAAGGTATCAGGATGCACATACAGGTTTGAAACCATGTTGAAGAAAAGCTACAGGCATTTCTGAACCCCACAGCGAATGGGGTATTACAGCTGTGTGTTACAGAACTGCTTATTCCAACACCCACCCTCCCAGATTAGTGCCAGAAAGGACAGTTTTCCAATAGTGACTTCCACAAAACGTGGGAGGCCAGGTAGGATCCCCGGGAGGAAAGGGGAGGCCTTTCAGGAGCTACTGAGAGGACAAAGGCAGCTTGTCGCCTCATAGGTATCAAGTCCTTCAACAGCAGAAGTGCTGACCTCTGCTGATTAGACGGGGGCACACCAAAAGGAGCCTCCTGTCTTGTCCCAAGCTCTCATATACCCTCCAGTGTGCCGGTACAGGGACACTGTGTTCCCAAACCCTGTCCTCCCTCCATGCCTCCTGTTGAATGGGAGGTGACTCGTACCCTTGAGCCACATGAACCAGGAAAACCTGAGGTAGCAGAGTACAGGACCAAAGGCTAAGTCACGCCACCCAGGGCCACCCCACCACCTCGGACCATCTGTGCTGAGACTGTCACATGGGAGCAAAGCATCCTTTGTCCCACTATCTCATAGATATTGTGGGTCTCTGCACAATCTGGTGAATTTATACTCTAATAACTATGAGTACATTTATTACTTTAGGACACATTGGGAAGAAAAAGCCCAGCTGTGCAGAAAACCTGGACAACTCTCCTCCCTGTTGTCCCCAGCCTCACACAGAAGGCAGCAGAGGCTCTTGCAGACACCAGCTGACCCCAGGACACACTCTGCTCCCATAGCAACCACGCCATTGGGCTCCATATCCAGATGCTTATCCCAGTGCCCGCTCTGCCTGGCGGTGAGTTGACCTCCCAGGGTCACACCCTGGATTTGCTCACTGTGACCTGTGTCACACACGAACCCTGTAATTAAGTTCCTGGGCTTCCCGCTTCTGCCCCAGGCATCTGCACAAAGCTTTGATTGTCCCTCAGAGTCTGACCCTCACCTGCCCTGGTCTTTGGTTTCTGCACACGCCCACAGCCTGCCTCGGATTGGAGGTCACTCCCTCTGGAACGGGCTGGGGTGCTCTGTGCATCCTGATCCCCTATGATCCCAGCATGTCACAAAACACCCCAGCCCAGCAGGATCAGACAGACCAGAAGTGGACCAGATGGAGCATGGTGACGTCAGCATCTCTGACAGTGGGAAAGATTAGAGAGCCCCTCTGTACCCAGGCCAGTCCTCTCTCCCCAAGTCTAAGCGACCCAGGCTTCACTATGGGCTGAACACTTCCTGGAGAGCAATGGGAACGATCCCAAAGGCACTGACTGGCTCTCGCTGACACCTAACGTCCTCTTCCTCCTGCCCAGTGTGTTCTAGTCCTAGCCCTCAGGCCGGTTCTGAAGTTGGGAATGGTGACTCTACCAGCCCCATGACTTGTCAGAAGCCCCTGAGATGATACAGAAGCCCACTGGCATGGGACAGCCATAGCGGGACCTGATGAGGCCACTGCGGTCACCCTGGAGAGGAGTTTGTTCCTAGAAGTCATGCTGAGCTGAGCAGAGGGGGGGAATGGGCAACAGGGGCAGTTATGGAAACCCCACAGGGCAGAGCCTGTCGCTGCTGTTGCCCAGACCTTCGTGTGCCCTCTCTCTGCCACCACAGGTCACTCAGCCTAGGGCCAGGGCTGACCGGCTAAGGACTGTGTGAAGCCGGCTGGGGTGATTGATCCCAGAGCATCCCTGAGGCTAAAGGCTGTGGATGAGCCTGAGGGCGGAGCCCACAGGGTAGAGGGAGGCCTCCCCAGGAGGTGGGGAAACGCAGGATTGGGTAAAATGCTGGAAATCAGCCTGATTCAGCTCTGGCCTGCTCTGAGTGTTCTCACAGCTCTGCTGTGACAGCCGTCACCCTACTTCTGGTCCCTACAGAGCTGCCATCTCAGCTGTCTCTGTGCATGAAGAGGAAAGCGTCTGAAGCCCACCGTGCAGTCAGAGATGCTGCTGTCAATGGAACCATCCCTGAGCCCTCTTCCAGGGCTCCCAGCCTCGAGCTGTCCGCAGTCTCTGAGAGCCAGGACTCACACGTGTCTCACACCCTTCCTGACTGTTCCTGGCTTCCGAGATTCTGTTCCTCACGTGAGTGAGCACTGCCCCTGCAGGTTTGTGATGGGGGATCCAGAGGGGACCTTGCTTCTCTCAGGGTCCCCTTGTCCCAAGAAGCAAGTACTCGGCAGGAGCCTGACAGTCATGGCAGGCCTCGAACAGCCTGGGCAGGGTCAGCCAAGCAGGGAATCACTGTCCTGGTGGCACTGAATTTACCTCAAGGCACCAGTGTGTGGTTAGGGTTAGGGCTTCCAGCGGGTGGCCTTCTAGGAACCCCAGCCCTGGCTCCTGAGGCCACAGCCCCACCACCGCCACCACCAGCACTGCCATCCCCTCGCTGACTGATGGACAGATGGTTTCCATGGCTCCTGTGGCTTGGGGGAACCTGGGGAAACACACAAAGAGCTGCAGAGCTTGTGGTGACATAAGGTGTCCTGAGACCCCCAGTGTTATGGCACAGTGTGACATTAATGCATTAACTAGCAGCATTAACAAATTCCCTGGTAGAGACTGTGATGTTTGGGAAAAGGGATCATTAGATATTTGCAAACACTCTGTGTGCTGAGGAAGGGCCTCGGGCTCTGACAAATGATAAATGAGAAAATTAGAGGCTTCAGGCAAATGTAAATACCATCCTTTGTACGTCTGTCCCTTGGCAGGAATAAAAAAATGTTTCCTCAAAGCCATGAGGCATTTCTTCTGTTCCTTTCACCACCATGAAAAATGACTGGGACTGTTTTACACACGTCTACATGTCTGGGTAGGGCGTCCCCATTCCTAGCAAGGCCTTGGCAATCTGTGCAGTAGACTGCAGCTTCAAGTCCCCATTGCTCAGCCTTTCTTTCAGTATCACCCTGGAAAGACTGGCCAGACTCCACCCAGTGTTATGGTTTATGCCTAGATGAACCCCACAGCCTCAGTGCTCATGGGTGGAGCACTGTGGAGCTGATTGAATCATGGGGTCATGATGCTTCTCAGTGGATTAGTCACTGACGAGTTTATAGCTAAACATGATGCTGGAGATGCAGCCTGGTGAGAGGAAGTGGGTCACTGGGGTTTTACCTGGCGGGATCTAACTGCCTCTCCTTTGTCTTTGGTCTTTCTGCTGCTGTACCAGGAGCTCTTTTTCTTCTGCTCCTCTGCCCTGCCCTAGTCCGACTATGGACTGAAACCTCTACAAACTATGTGTCAAAATAAATCTTTCCTTATGCATTCCTTAATTATTTGTGTATTGGGTATTGTGTTGCAGGATAAGCAGGTAACTAACATGCCAAGCTGCACAGTTGTAGCTAAGACAGAGCTGGGCAAACAGTTCTCCCAGGATTTATACAGGAAAAGATTTAATAAAGGACTTATAATTCATAGGATTATTTCATAATAGTCACCCAAAAAGTCAAATGCAAAAGAGTACGGGAGATCTGTCCATACACTAGAGACCCAAAGAATCCAGCTGAGGGCTGGAATCCCTCTGCAATGAACGTCCTGTACAAGTCCAGCTGGAGGCTGAGAGCCCACAACATCTCATGCAAGTCTGTATCAAGGATCTGTACCAGGAAGGCCCAAAGGGTGGTGGTGGAAGCTAGAAAGTCTGCACCAGCAGGGTGAAGGATCTATGCCAGCAGCTGAGGGATCTGCACTGAATCCAGAAAGCAATGCTCCAGGTAAGGACCAGAGCTCCCCCGCAAAGAACTGCAAGGATCCAAGCTCCTCCAACAACGAGAACACCCAAGCTCGTATCAGGAAAGCCAACACAACAAGCTTCTCTGGGAGAATCAGCAGCACCATCTTCCCCTCCATTTCTCCTTGTATGCTGCTGGCCACAATCCTCAGCTGGGCCTTCCACACCCAGCGCCATGCTGACTCAGTTCAGCTGGGTGTGACAAGCTGGCCACTAGTTAATCCACCACAGGCAGCAAGGTTTCTTTGTCACCCAACAGATACCACGGTCTCTTCAGCCACATTGCCAATGCTCGGTTCCCACCTGGGCCCCTAATCAAGTGCTCCCACCACCCTGCCCGGTTCCCCACTCTAGCACCAGGAGCATCTTGGAAGTCGGGGTGAAGGTTAAATAAGCCAAGAGATGAGAGCACGTGAAATAGTGTCCGGCCGCTCCCACCCTGCAGAGAGAACTCGGCCTGCCCCACCAGCACCTCCTCCCCGCAGCTCCCACCTGGGACTCCAGAGAGAGACTCTGCAGCTATCCTGGAACCTCAGTGTCCCTGACTCGGCATGGCTCTCGGGGTCATTCTCAAGGTGAACTTAGCCTGGTCAAATGCCAACAAAATCTGGGCACCGAGATGGTGTTACCTCCACTGTTGAGTATCTCAGAGGAGTCAAACACAGGTCAAATGTGCCTTTCAGAGGAGAACTGGGCAGCGTCTGGAAGATTCCACGGCCCATCCAGGGCCAGCACTGCCAGGCTGTGCCCTGCAGGATCCTCCACTCGTGTCTGTGAGGGAACCCGGACTCCAAGGGCTGCTTCTGTTTGGAACCCATCAAAACACCAACAAGTGGGAGGAAGCCATTGGCTGCAGGATTCAATCACTGTCACATGCATCCTGGTTTTGGTGTCCTGGTAAGAGCTCCCATGATGCCCCGCCTCCTTCCAGAGTGACCCTGATCATCCCACTGCTCAGCTCAGTGTTCCCAGCCCAGAGTTCCTGGAGGAAATTTCTCCTATAACTGATTTTTCTTAATCTTATAACCAAATTTTAATTAGTGAGAAAATAATGAAAACCAGTTTATGGGAAATTTTTAGACTATCACTCACATAGAATTATAGCCAATGCGTCAGTTAACAACTGAGCTTTGGAATCGGCAAGATTGGTGTTCAAATCCTGGCTCCACAGTGTCATTTACCAAAGAGGTCACTCACCTGAGAGGTCCCTCCCTTCTTTGGACTCAGTTTGAGGACCGCAATGAAGACTCAGGAATGACACACAGCATCACTTGAGGAGGGTCTGCAGACCAGCAGGGGCCTCAGCACTGAGACCTTTGCTAAAAAGGAGGGTTCAGGACTCATGTGAGTGCTACTGGGTGGGACTCAGAGTCCAGTAAGGCGTTTCAGAAGGTCACAGCATGTACCGGTGCTGGGCAACCAGGCTCCCCACAGCCTGTGATTACATCGTTCTCACTAATAACAAGTTTTACCTGGTTTGCAGGGGGTTATGCTAACATCGGCCCAGCTGTCCCCTGAGTAGCCACACTCGCCTTGTCCTCCACCTTGACTGGGCCCAGCACATTGATACTGGGAAAGAGCATGTTAGGGAGTCACCCTCCCCAGAGCTCCCAGGGGATGGAGGAGTTAGGGAGCTGGAAAGAGAAAGAATAGAGGCCAATGTGAGCACACCTGTAACCCCAGCCCTCAGGGAGGCTGATGGAGGAGGAGCAACAAGTCTGAGCCAGCCTGGACAACTTAGCAAGAATCTGTCTCAAAAACAAAAAACACCTGGTGAAGTTTAGTGCAGAGGCCCTCGGTTTAATTCCCAGTGACTCAAAAAGGAAGAAAGGGAAAGAAAGAGAGAGAAGAAACTGAATGAGGGGGCTTCTGTGGAGAAGAAAAGAAAGCAAAGGCCTGGAGAGGGTGCGTGTTAGAGGCAACATTCCTCACTCTTCCAGCTTGGAGAGACGTTTACTCTGGCTTAGAGTTTTAGTGGGTTCAGTGCATGGTTGGCTGCCATGCAGAGACGGCCTGGTGAGAGGGCCTGGCAGAGGAAATCTGCTCACATCATGGAAGCCAGAAAGCAGAGAGAGAAAAACAGAGCCAGGACAAGAATCCACCCTTCCGGGTCACATCCCCAGTGACCCACCTCCACCCAGTCCCCCTTCCCAACATTCAGCATGAGCTCTTCAATGGCTCAGTCCACAGACCCACTCTCCAGAAGGCCGTCTCTGATTACATGGACGATTTGGGGAACATTTTCAATCTAAACCATCCGACGGAGGGATAAGGAAAGCAGGAAGGGGATCGTCATTGAGGACAGGGGAAAGGCAAGGAGGCAGAGGGACAGGTGAGTCCTCGCCGGTCAAAGGGCTGCTGAGGATTAGAATCGGGAGAGGAGCCAGGCCTGGCTCCTTTCATGGACCAAAACCACCAGGAACGAAGGGGAAAGAGACCTGCCTGCTGGCTCCTCAGAGGAGACACAACTGTGAAGTGGATGAAACCCAGAGGTGACAAAGGGCTGAAGCCACTCCACAGGAAATCAGCTGGGAAAGAAAAGAACGCAGGGAAGAGGGGCCACTTTGAACAGGGTCAAGGGTGGCCTCTGTGAAGATGGACTATGAGACTGGACTGAGCACTGAGAAAGTTCCAGCCTGGAAAAGGCTGTCAGAGAGCACCAGGGAGGGGCAGAGCCCGGTGCAAAGGTCTGGAGGCAGAAGTGGCCTGGATAAGCTCAGGGGAGAGAAAGGCAGAGGAGGGCTGGGTGTGGAATCCAGGGAGGCGGACAGGGCCTCCAGGGCCAGGGTGAGATTCTAGGGGTTCACATAAAAGCAGCAGAAAGTCACAGAGGGATGATTGTGGCTGATGTGCAGGTCAGAATAGTCGCTCACTGACTGATGGGTGGGAACAGGCATTGCACGCGGAGTGGGAGCCATGAATCCAGGCTAATCCCAGATCTGCAACACATGAGATCTTGAGCAAATTTATCTTTCCAGAGCCTCCGTGTCCCCAGCTGTTTTGGCTTATATCTAAATGTCCCCCTGAAGTCTCATTCACTCAAAGCTGGGTCTTGTGGAAGATGATTGAAGCTAATGCTGGAGCTAAATGTGATGTTAGTTGGCGGGGCCTGGCCAGCAGAGGCAGGCCTCTGGGTATGGCCCACAAGTAGCTGGCTCCCACAAGTGGTTAGGTGCCTCCTTTGCTCTGTGCTTCCTGGCTGCCCTGACATGAGCTGCTTTCCTCCAAAGCTGGGCCTGCTGCTGTGCTGTTCCGCCCTGGAGCCAGCTAACTACAGAATGCAACTTCTAACAACTGTGAGCCCGAATAATAGCTCTTCCTTTAAGTTGTTGGTGTTGGGTAATGAGTCCCTGCAAGGAGAGTGTCCAAGGCATCATCTGTGAAAGAGTGAATCACAAACCAGCTTAAGGTTGTTCTGAGGATTAAGTCACAGGAATCCACAGCAGAGCCGAGGACACAGGGTCAGTGTCTTTCTGTGACTAGATAACCGACCTTGACCTTCGCAGACTGACACCCATGACACAGGAGGTAACTGGGGCCAAATCAGCAGGCCCTGGGCTGGGTGGGACCACACCGCCCCGGCCCCTCATCCCCGCTCTCTGGACGGTGAGGGTCCCCACACGTGCTGCCCCTGGGACTGCGGGGTTACTTTACAGCTCCCCACAGGCTGAGCGACTGATTGAAGTGATCTGACCCAGGATGGAGCTAACGGGACTGGACAAAGCTGGCACGGCTCGCTCAGCCGCAATCTGGGACATCCCGGGGCGCAGCTTTACCGCTAAAGCAGCTGCAGCGAGCTGGCTGCCCGGCGTCCAGCAGCCCAGGCTGCTCTAGTGGAAGCTGCCGCCCTGCCCAAGGCAGCTCCGTGGCCTCCACCTGCCCTTCCAGGTGGGGGGAATGAAAGGGGAGCCAGGAGGAGACGGGAGCGTGGGCCCTGCAGGGCAGCTGCTCCCGGGAATTCCCCAGCAGTGACCCAGAAAGTAAAATACAGCTGGTGAGGGAGTCTCTGCCCACCAAGAGGGTCAGATGCGTCGCTTAAAACAGCTCAGGGTCTGGGTGGCACATTAGCGAGCGGAATTCTGTGTCATTGCGGCCTCAGTCACACACAAGCAGAGCCCCGCTTGAGAAGATGTGCACCATGCACCTTAAAGGTCCCTTAAAGACCTTAAGGACACAGTAGGCCTGTAAATTGGGCTCCAGGTCCCTCACTTTTCTCCTTCCCACAGACCTCCGTCCTCAGGGAAGCAGCTAAATTAGTGGGCGGCAGATTTCCGCTCAAAACACGTCAGTGATCTTCATTCTAACACCAGATGGGTGACGTTATAGACACTCTACATCACCCATCTTGAGGACACCCCAAGACCACGTCGTAAATGTTCCCATCAGTGTTCTCCTTGAGGGCCCACACTCTAACCCCTTTCGGAGTATAGTTTTAAACTCTGCCTACTGAACCTCTTCACACCTAGATGTTTGTGGCACAGAAGGAAACTCAGAGTCCAGGAGGAGAGGGGGCTGAACCCACCGACTACACTTCTGGAAGCATCCCCAAATTTTTAGGCACCTTTCCAGGCCACAGAGGCCCTGCTTGAGCAGGAGAGGACGGGTGTGGGAGGCAAGTCCCTCTTGTCCTATTTGGAACCCAGGCTGGTTAAGCCAGGCCTCCGCCAAGGCTCCTTCACCAAGCCTCTGCCAGCTGATTGCGGCATCTCTAAATGAGGAGCAAGGAACCGGAAGAGGGATGTCACAGAGGCTCATCTGCTGACAACTGCCTAACCCAGGGAGCAGCCTGAGCCGGCCTCCCTCTCCCTTCGGTTCCCCGCTGGATCCGCCTACAGAAGACCAGGCTGGCTGCATGAGCTTCCTTTTCTGTATTTGATTTTCTTACTCTCCAGATAAAAGAGGAAAAGTCAAAACATATGCATAGTGCATAATTAGAACACTTGGGTTGGTTTAAGCTCTATTCATGCAGTCTCCCAGACAGATATTTGTGTAGGAAAGGCACACAATCATAGAATTAGATTCTCTTCCAGAAAAATATAAGACTGCAGCTTGCAGGAACTGAAGGCATCTTACCCAGCTAGTTCCAACTTTGTCTTGGGTACTTGTGTCGCCGCATGTCCCATTCTGCAGCCCTCAGAACCACACATACATCCCTAGAGCCCGGTGATGTCAGAGGTGCCATGAATCACAATGACAGCTCCCCTGGTATCCAAGAGACCTGAGCAGGCTGCAAAGTCACCGGTGGGCCCCCTGTGAGAACCCTCCCTGCATTTCAGCATCCAGCAGAAGGGACTGAATTGCATCGGAATGACCCACATTATAAGGCGGCTAATGACCCAGTTAACCTCCAGCTAGTTCCCTGCCTCTGTGTCCTGGGAACGCTGGTGTTTACTCCGCTGGGGACAAACCGTTATGAATGTGCCAGTGGCCGCCTGGGCCAGTGTTTTCATAGCAGTGGGCTGAGGGGCCAGGGCCCCTGCCGAATATGAATGAGGTCTTTTCTTTTCCCTCTCTGCTCTGCCTTGATTTGCATGACTAAGCTTTCTGCTCTTTTTTCTTTAATGTGTTTGTTTGTTGATTACTGATCTGTTTCCTATGGAGGAACAAACTCTTTGCCCACCAGGCAGTGGCCTAAATCTGGCAACAGCCCCAACTGTGTGTGAAGCAAACTCAAGTCAGACAGCCGCACTTACACTTGCAGGGACAATTCCAGGGGACTCTAGACAGCCCAAGTAAGGCAGGATCAAAATGACACTGGTCTCCAGCAGAGTTTTAAGAGGAGTCTTGGCAAAGGAGGCCTCGACCATGAGAAGGGAAGGGGAGATCCTCTTGGGGGTAAAAATCCCGGCGTGGTTTAAGAAAAGGCTCAAAAGCTTCTTTAAATGAGGCTGCAGGTTCCCTGGGGAAAGGCTGTACCCAAGTGTCACAAGTGTGCCTCCCAACTCCATTAGACCAGTGGCACCTTTTTAAAGTAGTATGTTCTCATTTCCACGTTAGCTGAAATTTGAAATGAAATGAAGCTCGTAGACAATATAACCTTCCTACATGTCTTTTTAAAAAAATTCAATTTAGTGCCCTAACTATAATACGAAGGGAAATGTAAGGAAAGTGATGCCTGTGAAGTAATTTTCAGTAAGAAATTGCTAAGCATGCTGTACCAAAGACCTCATTTAGCGCTACAAGCAGCATGCGGGAGGTTCAAATGTCCCGAGGCACAGTGCTGCTGGCGCTGTCACCACTGGTAAAGTTTTGAAGAAAACCAACACAATTGATTTGCTCCGTGCTTGCCACCCCAGGAAACTGAGGAGCCCACCTAAACAGGACAAAATATACCATCGATTCCATGCCAAATGGATTTTTCACTTGGAGCTCTAATTATTACAAATACGGTTTTCTGATAGGACCGTCCAGAAGGACCTTTGGCATTCATGCAAAATGGAAAGGGATTCTGCACGGGGTGGAGCTCTCCTGAGCTCTGTGGCCCATCAGCTGCCACTCACTGACCAGCGATTGTCGCCAGACCAGTCCAAGCGTCCCTGGCCACTCAGATCTGTGCTCACCACAGACCAACACAAAGGTGCCCACTCATGTTGGTGAAAAGGAAGAGCTCTTTAGTCAAGCTGCTTCCAAGGAGGTGCCACAGTCTCATGTTTTCCAGTCCAGGTGGGCAAAGGCCATTTACAGTAAGGAAGAGAGGGAGGGGAGACAGGGGGACACTAGACAACGCCAGGCTCGCTGCTTCTCTCCTGAGACTTACCCTTGGGGCCAACGTCTGTGTGTTATCCAGACCAGGGATGGCGAAACTTTTAGAGACGAGTACCCAACTGCAGCCCTAAACCCACTTCTTTATTGCAAGGTGCCACCTGCAATTAAACCTGACAGCTCAGCTGCTGGGCGCTGCTGGTACCATAGACAGCTAAGTTAGGTCGAAATGTTATAGGCAGGTGGACAGGGCTGGGCCCTCAAAAGTCAACCCAGAGATTAAAACTCATTACAACTGTGACTGGCATCTATTAGAGGCCAGATCTCAAATAAGGACAGAATGACCAGGCCTTACACAGTCTCCTAAGGGATAAGGGGTAACACCTGGTCCAGTAAAGTCTAGGTAGACATCAGTCACCGCGGTGGGTGACCAAGACCCCTGGACCACTTCTTCCTAAACAGTTCTATTTCTTTCCATGAACACCCGCTATGTGACTTGCTTCCTTACTGGGTCAGTATTACCTTAAGAGGCTGTATTTATCATCTTAGTGATTGATCATAGCTTTAACCACATTGTGTCCACCTGACTGTATTCTATAAAACTTTCCCTGAAAAGTAGGGTCCTCGGTAACCCACTCAGGTCCCCTGCTGGCTCTCTCAGGAGCTGTATTCCCCCCTCTCTGTATTTCCACTGTTTATCTCCATTGTTGGCCCAAATTTATTCTTCAGTTTTGGGGAAAATGAACTCCAGGTATCAGACCTCTGGGAGGTTGGGAGTTACACTGGTTTCCCTTTTCATTTGGAGGCCCCACACCAGCCCCGTGAGATTATCTCACCTAGTGATGCTGTGGTGTAAATACATTCTGCATAATGACAAAATTGCAAAATGACAGTGCAGTCCTCAGAATTTTTTCAGATTCTATAATCAACTATGATCAACTGTCATCTGCACTAGAATAAATATCCCTGAGTACTTATTATTCAAAGAGTATATAATATTTTTGGAGCTGTGGTTTCTATGGGACACACGCCTACACTGAGATGTACTGATGGGAAGGGAGGCATGCATTTCCATTAGAGGGGAGGGCGATGAATTCTGCCCAGGGCAGGACCAGACAAAATTCTTGGTGGGGGACTCGAGGCTTTTTTTGAAGGCTAAGAAGAAAGTGTGGGCTGGGAGGGTGATCCTAGGCATGGGCCCAAGGGCAGGTTTGGAGGCTCCCCAGAAGAGGCAGCCTAGCTGCCAGGAGGATGTGGGAGGGGAGCTTCAAGGGCAAAAGCCCCGAGGTAGGATTGAGGTTAGCATGTTAGCCAATAACCTTCAGAATTAAAGTGGGAAAAAAGAAATAGAGGAAGGAGGAAATGGGACAAGGAAAGTCATAATTTTAAAATTGCACTTTTAAGGAAAACAGCTTCAGGATGCAATCAAAGTTACTCAAGGTTATAAAGCCTTTTTCCCTTCCAGAAAAAAAAAAAAATATATATATATATATATATATAGCGCTGAACACAACAAACCTGTAAATTGCTTTTCATCTATAGATTGAGCCTGAGGTTGCTTCCCGCCACAGCCCTCCATCCTCAAGGAAGCAGCACTAATGAGTAAGCAGCGGGCCAGTAAACTCCAGAGAGTGCGCAAATGGTTTGCAACCCAGCCCCTGCGTGTGACCTGACAGGCAGAAGGACACGCATCCGACATGTCTCTCAGTCAGCCCAAGACCACATAACAACCCCCAGCCCCAGACCATACTGTGCCCCATGAGCACCCACACCCCATTCTCTCTGAGTGTGGATTTCTGTGATTCTGTCTGATCGACCTTTCTATGCCTCCTGCAATTCTTTTCTGTGTTGTAAGCCAGAAAACCTACATCCTGCCCATAAGTAGGATGAACTGACCTGCCCTTTAGGGGACTCCTTGGACTCTGTCAAGTGACAGTGTCTAAACAGACAACATTAGCAATTGTAACCAGGGCAGCACTGACTGTGGTCTCCACCATGTCCTAAGTAAGCTTTTTAGGAAAAGCTTTCCCTTAACCTCAGAGGAGAAGTAGAAATATTGTCCCCATTCTCCAGAGAAAACCAAGCCACACAGAAATCATGCACCTCTTTACAGTCCCCTGGGGAGTCAGCCATGGGCCGGGATGCTTCTCCCCTGTGACCATAGCGGCAGCTGTGGAGGGGAAGGGCTCACCCAGCAGTCACCCCAGTACACAGCTGGGTCTTCGAGAGCCTGGCCACCTATGTGCAGAAAGACAGGGATGCTTGTTCAGCACCCGCCTAAGCCAGGCCCCTCCTGAGACCTCCACTTTGGCCAGTTAACTTCATCGTACATGATCCTCTAAAGTGGCTGGGGGTCTCTGACTGACACCTTGGGACAGAGCGGGGCACAGAGTCACTAGGCCATGGTGGTGGGTTAGTGGCTAGCTGGCCCAGGGTGAAAATCTGGCCATCTGACTCCAGAGCCCTGCTCTTCTATAACACACATATGTGTGTGTTTGTATACAGTATTGTCACAGACCTACATGCCATGTGTTCCCACATATGTGTGCCAATATGTGTGCTGTTTGTGCAGGTATGTGTACACCAACATGCATGTGCATACGCACATGAGCACACGTGTGCAGGCACACACAGAACGGGATTTTAGTCCGAGGAAGGTTTTGTTACTGGTCACACAGTTTGTGAGACACCAAGTAGTCTCAGGTTATTGTGGGCCTCCCTCATTGCAGCCGACTAAGGCAGAAAATCAAGTGCTGAAATTATAAAAACCAGGTTCCCAGTCTCTCCAGTTACTGTTTGATTGAGCCCATCAATCAAAGAGCTGAAATCCAGGTTCTCACAATCAGTGAAAAGCACCTTGTGGGGCTTCCTGCTCACGCTTTGCATGGCCCGAGGCAGCGTGTTCCGTGCAGGGTGTCTGCTCCGGGCAGCTTCCTCCGTGTGCAGGGAGCAATAGAGTGACCCTCGGCAGGGCCATCACGAGGACTGGTGAGATGACACCCGTGAGGTGCCCAGAGCCATGCTGGCTCACAGTAAGTGCCCAATAAACGCCTGCTGCTAGAACAGTGCCGGTGCCCACGCACCTCCCGGCACAGACCCTGCGAGCCCTCCAGCCCCAGCACCAGGGTTGTTACTGTTGCCCTGGAAACTCACTGTCCCACACACGGAATGAAATGTCACCTGTCAGCCAGGAAACCGCCTGGCCTTTGCTTCACTGTGTGGGCTGATACAATCAAGGCACCACAATTGTTTGCTTTGCTTTGCTGGATCCTTTTCTGTGCAGATCCACAAAAAGGCTGATAACTGCACCTGGTCTGTGCTTTGGTAATTTTAAGAATGCACAGGAAATTGAGCGGCTGAGTTGAGGGCCGGGCTGTCAGTCTGGACAGGCCAACAGAAGGCAGAGACTTGGGTTCAAGAAGAGAACCTGGGGAGGGGTCAGCATAATTCCAAGGGCTGCCACAGTCGATGGGAAATTAGTCACCATCACTGCTTTGTTTGTGCCAGAAGGTTCCAGCTAGAGAAGAGGTGGGAGGCCCCAGCAGTAAGAATAAAATGCCCAGCGCTGCCCATCCCATGCCCAGATAGAGACCCAGGTCCCCACCAAGACCACAGGGCTCTGAGCCACCGGCCCTGCCCACCTCTCCACCTGAGTCCACACTGCCCCTCGCCACACCCAGCTCTGGCCTTGCCACGCCCAAACACCCTAAACCTTCCCTGGGGATAGGAGTCAGCCCTTGGCAAGGGCCAATCCTTCTCCATCACTGTAGTTTTGTCTTTCTGAGGATCACATATAAATGGGATCATGAGGGCACGACGCCTTGAGGACCCCTTCCTCGGTACAACTGAGCAGCTTTCCACGGGGCCATGAATAGTTTGTCCATCTGTTCCCTCGCTGGAGGACTGGCGGGGCTGTTCACAGCTTCCTGGTTTGAGGAGGTTCATGTCTTCGGACTATTTTTGAGAATTTTACATCAGTTTTACTCCGGACACTGTAAAACCCTTACGGAACGTGCTGCACCCCAAAGCCCCCTGCTGACAGCTCCTTAGCTGTCAGGACTGCGTTCAACAGGAGAAAACCAAGCTCCCGATGTTCCCCAGCCCTATGGCAAGCCCTCCTGCACCCTTAGGTGACCTTTTCTGTCTCTTCCTTTCAGAAGGGCCAGAGCTTTCTTTTAAAGAATCTGAAATAAGTATAAAATCCAAAGATCCTTTCCTGGTGGCTTGGTGAGATCTGGAAACCACTGTGCCCCTGAGCCCGCGGGGCCTTGGTTCTGCAGGCTGCAGCTCCCTTCCTCGCAGGAGCCATGGAGGACTCGATCCCTCCAAGAGCGCACGCCGGATGCCTGGCATCACACAGGGACTGTCAGCATCTACTCAGTAGGAGTCCGTGGTTGGCACTACAACAGCTCGTGAGCCTAGGAACCAATTCCATGGTGCAAAGTTTCCAAGTCAATGCTGGCTGGGCCTTTTTATGCACATCACACTTAAAGCTTTGGGGTCTGTGCCACCTGCACCCTATTCCTGTCCCGCTCTTGGTAGCTGCCTGTGCAGGGCTGGCTTCTCTGTGGTCCAGGTTTGCTCACTGAGGGAGGGAACACGTCTGGCCGCCCCTGCAAGCCATGCAGCTTAGCCCCGCCCAGTCATCTCTGTATTTGTAAGTGTGAGTCCTCTCATCTGCTCTCTTTATTGTGAGTGTCATTTTATAACGAGCCTGCATCCTTTTCTCTCCTTCCCCCAGGCGGAGCAGCATCTTGGTTTGTCTGTTATCCTACACTGAGGCAGATCTGTTATTTGTGAGCTTCACCTCAGGACAGTAAGGAGTCACCATACAGGAGGACTACTGGGCAGCGCAAAACCTGCTGTCCCCTGGACCCCTGCCCCTCATTGGACTTTTCTCCTTTTTCAGGCTTAGGGGAATACAAGGATCCTCATCCTTAAGAAACGGCGGTGAGGCGATGCTGTATCTCAGATTTACGGTGGGTGAATCCAGTCTGGGCGCAGGGGCTGAGGCTGGGTGACAGGTAGGTGAGGATGATCCTCTCTTTACTTTTGTGGATGCTTGAAATTGCTGGGATATAAAATAGAATTGGTAAAAGACTACAAAAACTATCTACAAATCCCAAGTGAGCCCCACAGACAGTGCATATGATCAACGTGGTACACAGTGGTTAGGAAGGTGGACTCCTGGGCAGTCCACCAGGTCCAGATCCTGGCCCGGCCGTGAACTGCGACTCGGGTAAAGTGCTCACCCTCGCCTCCTCCTGCCAGGATCGGTGAACATGGTGCCTTTGTAATGCGACATCGGTTCCCTGTGGCTGCTGTAAGAGGTGGCAACACACTCAGTGGCTTAAAGCAACACACACTCCTTACCCTACAGTTCTGGAGTCCAGTCAGCTGGCTCTGCGTGGTACTTTTGAAGGCTCATGGGACAATCTGTTTTCCGACCTTTTCCAGCTTCTGGAGCGGGTGGGCTTCTCTGGCTCTTGGTTCTTCCTCCACGTTCAGAGCCAGCAGCACGGAGTCTCCTGCCCCTCTTCTGAGGACCGTGTGGGTCACACTGTGTCCTCACCTAGATAGTCCAGGATAATCTCCCAGTTAGGGATGCTCAATTAAGCACAGTGCTTCTTTAGCCAGTCATAAATTTAAGGGATTAGGACACAGTGGTGCATGCCTATCATCTCAGTACTCAAGAGGCCAAAGCAGGAGGAACACAGCTCAAGGCCAACCTGGGGCACATAGTGAGTTCAAGACCAGCCTAAACTCCCTGGTGAGATCCTGTCTCAAAACAAATAAAAAAGAGGTCATTATGAGGATTAGGTACATCGAACATTTATAATTGTAGCTGGCACACAGATAATTAATTAAATATTATAATTATGTTATAATTATTATAACTACTAGTGTTCATAAATCAATTTTTAAAATACTAAATACCAATTGTTACAATGAAGCATACTTCGTAACTGGAGTACATATGGAATCTCTCTTAGATTACTCTTTTGTTCCCATTTGATTTCATCTGAAATCCTCTTCCCTGCAGACTGGACAGTGGGTAAAATGGCTGGAGCGAGGACTACTATTTTGTACCATGAGGTATCCAGGACACAGAGGCCTTTCATGGCAGAGGAACAAAAGTGAAGAAACGCAACTCCTAGCACAGAGCACAGCCCCATACTCGGCCTTAGACTGCCCACGCCTAGCCTGCACGGGAGACAAACATCAATCTGCACTGTGCATAAGCTTCAGTTATCTGTGCCTGGGCCACTCGCAGCAGAATGTAATTCTGCCAGTCCTTTCATTTTAATCTATTTCTCATTTTTATCAGTACCGGGGATCGAACTCACGACCGCCTGCTTGCAAGGCAGGTGCTTATGCCGCTGAGCTAAACCCCCAGCCCCTTAATCTATTTCTCAAAAGCCATGAGAGATGTCAAATACACGGGAGGCCACAGAGTGAAATAAGGAAATAGCCTGCGTCTAAGACCAGAAGGCCCTGGCTGCCCCTCCTCCTCCACACTGTGGAGTGAGAGGGCCCGGCCGTCTCTCCTGCTTGTCCCCACTGGGCTTCACACTTCTTTTTAATCATCTTCTAAAGCAAAATCGATGTGAAAAGAAGATTAAACTGTGTCTCTGAAGCCACGTGGGCAGGAAGTGACATGGTCAGGTCGGACCTCTGACCCACGCGGCTGCCTCCCATCCCCCCCCCCTGCTCCGCCCACCCGCAGGTCCTCTGCCTGCCCCTCCCTGCATCAATCACCCTGTCTGCAAACCTGTCATGCGGATGCCTTTGCCTCCTTGCTCAGTGGCTTCCGGCCCCACCCTAAGTCAATACCTTTAATCCAGGTCCCCCAGAATCACCCCTGAGATGAGGATTTCAGAACAGCTGGTCTGCTAGAGAGTGAGACACAGGGAAGCATCAGGAGGAGGGGGAGGAGGAGGAAGAGGAGGAGGAGGGGGAAGAGGGGGAGGGGGGAGGAGAGGGAGGAGGGGGAGGAGAGGGAGGAGGAGAAGGAGGAAGAGGAGGAGGAAGAGGAGGGGGAGGAGGGGGAGGAGGGGGAGGGGGATGGGGAGGAGAGAACCGCACCATGAGCCCTGGACTCCTAAGAGCTGGGCCGTCTGCCCCCCAACTCCTGTCCCTTGCTGGCTGTGAAAAGTCCCCGCCCCCCAGAGGCGGAGCCCACGGCAGCCAGAGGGAGGACTGGGCAGTCACCCTGGCCCCATGGCTGGTTCCCTCACCCTGCGTGGCTGTGTCGTCACCTCTCCGTCCCCAGCATGTCTGCTGCCTGCATGGACGACTCCTCGCCTCGTGGCTGATCCCCCACAAGTGGCAGACATCTGAGTTGCCAGGTGTTAAGGATCTGCGGAGACACCAAGTTAAAGTGGTGACATGAATGAGTCTCCAGCACTTTTTTGAGAAATCATAGGTTTACAGAAAAATGCAGCAGGAACTGGAGGACTGCCGATTCCCCAGAGGAGAAAATGGTTTTACTTAGCAAAAGCTTTATAAGTCTCTGGAAGTCCCGAAGATTTCTTTCAAATTCCTGCCTTTGTGTTTCTCATCACAAATCAGAACAGGAAGGCTCTCTCCCGTCCAGCCTGGGCTGGCTGCTGACGGGAATGTCCAGCAGAGACTGTCCAGCAGAAGGGGACCCCGGGGAGGGCCTGGCCTCCACAGAGCCTTTCACAGGGAGCACGAGATGTCCACTGGGTGCTCCCCCTGTCGGACGGTGTGGTGGCCAGCAGACCCCTCCAGGCTGCTGTCCTGTCCAAAGGGTTGGACAGGGCAGTTGATGGACGTGAAAGTTTAACATTTACTTGGTTAAAGAAAAAGAAAAAGAAGTGATGGAGAAGGTGAGGTGCTCTGAGAGAAGAAGAGAAGGAGAGGGTGGTGGCGGTGAGGCCAGCGGCTGCCATCCATTGTCAGACCCAGAGCAGCCTGTTCAAACCCACTTGTTTTGAATCAAAAGACTCGAAGGCCGCATTCAGAGCTGGGAAGCCGTTCTTTGCATGTGTCCTGAATCTCTGTGACGGACAGATCGATCTCCACGGTTGACAGGTCACATCCCACTGCCCAGCCATTGGCCATACCCTAGTCTCCCGTCTCGCTCCCCTTCAAAGTAAACCCCATGGACCCAATAAGCACCCAGCCCTGCCCCCCAACCAGGAGAGGAGGGACAGTAAACACCATTTGAGCGCAGGACAAGCTCTTTCCAGTGGGTGGCATTGGGAGTGTCTTTAATCCAACCCAAATTCCTCATCCGGCACATACTGTGAGCACCTCCTCTGTGATGTGTGGGAAACCTAAGCACCCTCGAAGCTGTAGCCTCATGAAACAAATGCCGTGGACAACACCGTGCAGAGCTCCCACGCCCACCCAGGTGCTGCTGCGAATTCCAGCTGGTTTCATGCCTTGTGCGCCCAGGAACTCTGTAAATTCACACGAATCCTCATAGCCCAGCTCAGCACACCCCCATGTGCTCACACTGCCATCCAAGGTGGGCTCGACGGTGGGTGTGGGGAATTGTTGGTGCCCACCCACATCCCCAGCTCGCCCTCATCCCCCAGTCCTGAGCTTGCCTGCATCCCGTGAGCAGCAGGGCCCCATCTGGCTACGGAGCTGCAATGAGATCACCCACCGCTGGACAGCGACCAGCCAAGTGCCGGCAGGGGACCCACCGGAGCCCAAGGACACTGCAGAGGCCTTCGCTGGGCATTCACGAGCACTGCCCTGCATGCTTTCTGGGAGATTCCGGAAGTGACCCTGTGTCCCCTGCTGGACAGGAACAAAGAGGCTAAACAGGACGGAAAGGCACAGGAAGAACTTGGGCCCTCGACCAGCAGAGTCTGCGGCCCACCCGCTTTCCGACACCAGTTATATGGAGTCAGCCGGGAAGCCCCTAGGAAAGGTCTGGGCAGAATTAGCAGAGTTAAAATTATCCTCATTCCTAGTTCATCATCCAGGGAGTGTGGCAGAGAACTGTGAGCCGAGAAGTTTGTTTGTTTGTTTTAATGTGATTATCCTTGATTTCTAACTCTTTGCTTTGAACAAGAGAATTAGGCCATGTCAGAAGGTATCTAATACCTTTGTGTCACGTGGATGTCACATAAGAAAGAATACTCTTTTCAAAAGAGGGGATTAATTAGTGCTCCTAAAAGAGTTGGATTTTGATACATGGCTATCAAAAATTAATGACTAGGAACTGGGGTTGTGGCTCCAAGGTAGAGCATTTGCTAGGAGTGTGTGCCAAACTCTGGGTTCAAATTCTGGTGCTAAAAGTGTGTGTGTATGTGTGTGTATGTATGTGTGTGTGTATACATATGACTAAAAATATCACAGGTGCAAAGCCAAGTAAGGTGGATTGCAGGTAAGTCCAGAGCTCTTCTGTGGGGAACTAGTTAACTTCAAAGTATCTCTTACTCCTGAGACCTTTTTTATTTTCAAATTAACTAAAAGATTTCACTGGGGCGGGGCAGTTGTAACTTTAAAGGAACAGAAGCAGAAGGTGCAGCATTCCCACACACCCTGGCCTCTCCTCCGGGAGGACACTGACCAGGTTTCTTCTCTCCTGAGACCTTGCCGTCCTCAGCACGTGCCTCCCCGGGGCCCAGAGGACCGGGTCCGGCTCCAGTGTTCATTGAGTCTGCATGCAGCTCCGTGCAGGGCCGGTCCCCTCCCTTGGGGACATCTCCAGGGCCGCCCCCTCCTCTGGGGCAGCTCTGCAGGGGCGGCACCTCCACGTCCTTACCCTTGCTGGGCCAGTACGGATCCATTGTTAGCAAGTAAAGTCTAAGGTTCGCCGTGTTGTGACCACTGGATTGTGACATACATCCACCATTAAGAATATTAGTCCGTGGCTGCACATGACAGGTATGCACGGGGCATCCAGAGAGACAGAGGCACCTCCCATCGCATCACCTCGCACCTCAGACCTGCTCTCGGGTACCAGGATGTGCCTGCATCTCTTGTGTTGGTCCTGTGACCTCAGACGAGACAGCGCTTGGGAGGATTTTACTGTGTGACCTTTTAAATGGATTCCATTCCCTTAGATTTCCCAGTGTCATTCCCAATGTAGTCCATATGGAGCTTTTTGTTTTGTTTTAAAGGGAATATACGAGTTTGGTGAGAAGGCGGGTCTGGGCGATGCTTCTCCCGTGCGCTCTCCCTGCACACAGCACCTGACTCGCGCATTGGAAGGAGAGAGTTGTGCTCCATATAAATGCAAAACGCTCCAGACACTCAGGGGGATCTGTGCTTTGCTTGAACGATGCAGCAGCTTGCGAGTGGGCAGGACTTGGTGGAGTGGCCCCGTCGCAAATCCACTGTCACTCCAATACTCGAGGTGCAGGACTATGCAATCTGCCTTCGCTCACTAATTTCACAGTCCAGGGGCCGAGCCGTGAACGGCTCAGTGTGCATAATTCCCATTTTAATAACAATTTCCCTAATCTGCAGACACCCCCTGATGACATTTTTGTCACCTTTTAAAAAATTCAAATGCCCTATTCTTACAGGGTTAAAATTCAGCTTTGCTTTTGTTTAAACATCTGTTTAATTTCATGACTTTACCAATGGAGTGTGTGTGTGTAAGTATCTTGCAAAGCTTTTTCTGGCTGGTTTGCATTTTTTAAACCCAAATGAATTGCTCACATATTCTGCATTCATAATTCTTCTGCACAGCTCTTAGTAAGGTCGGAACCCTCCGTGCCTCTGTGATGAGCATGGAATGCATTTGAAACGCCTGTGTCTCCCCACTCATCGAAAGACAAGTTTTCTTCTCTGGGTTTCTGCAGACCTGAAACATTCTCTTCTATTCTGTAATGAGCTGCAGGACGCCGGGAGGGTCATTTAGGACCATAGCGGGGATGAGTCTGAGGTCACTGAATCAATGAAATTGCCAGGCAGGCTGGCACGTTGCAAAGAGGGAAATCTGGGGAAATTCTGATGGCCCGATTTCTGAGCCCCGGACGGTCTGTGCAGGGGATGAGTTTGCTTGCGCCCGTCACCAGGCCATTCAGCTGTGCTCCCACCAAGGACTCCGCCCAGAAGAGACAGCCATGCAGGTCAGACGCTGCGATGAGAGTGTAGTTCCGGACACAGAAAAGGCTGACTCTGTTTGTTTTCCCTCTTAAACTGGGTCCCTAGAACCCAGGGTTCTCATTGCCAGACATTTTTAAATGAGAGTTGATAACTAGAAATCAATACTGCTCACCCCGAGTTTTCATTTGTGGTACGATTCCTTTCAGGCCTCTGAGACTCCAGGTGAAGACTGTCGCTGGCTTCGTCCAGCTCCTCGGGGCTGCTGTCCTTCTTCTGCTTGTGTCTGTGTCCCTCTGGTCCCCGCCGGCCTGGGCACAGCTGCTTCTCCACAGCAGTGGGAGCTCTGATGTCCCCCGGCTGTGTAGGCCTAGGAGAACCTGCTCTCTCCACTGCGTCATCCTAGAAGCTAACGGCCCCTGTCAGGCCGTGTGAGTGTTAGTCACAGGTGCTGGGGGTCAGGGGGGACAGATGCTTGGGGAAGGGGGTTCTGTTCAGCTCATGGAGAGTCCTTGACCTCCACCTTGCTGAACAGAGTGTGGATGGGTTTCCCTGCAGAGCGGGCTGATCCAGGGTTGTGCGACCCATTTTCTATTTGCTGCCACAGCAGATGGCCTCACGTTTGACAGTCTCGTGGCTTGTCTTCTCCACATGCATCTCGAATAGCTTCGGCTCTTTTACTCATCTCTCTGGTGCTGATCCGTGGTTGTGTCACGCCTCTGCTGATGTCCATGGGACGTAACTCCAGCCCACCACAGCCTGGACCCCTGTCCCAGCCCCTCATCATGCACGAAACAGCAGTGTCCCCAGCTCATCCCCTCCTCCACCCGGCACCTTCCCATGCCCCCCAGACCCCAGCAGCAAGGCCCCACCAAACCCCCAAGAACAGACAAAATGGTCTCAGG